ACTAAAGCCACATACACTCAATCAAGGAAAAAAGAAGAAGAAATTATTCACCAACTTTTAAGAGGAAAAACAGAGGACAAACGGTAAAAGCGACAGGAAAAGGCCTTTAGTTCTCCTCCACTTTCACTTGTTCTGTGATAAATAACAAAACACAAACCCTTTCCGTCCCTAAGAACCTGTTTGGCGGCTCGGTCCATGTTTATCCCTGTATCAATCCCTGTTTGTTCTTATTCTTTTTCATTCGGATATAATGCATTAATTTGTTTTACCAACTATACGCATATAGATCATAAACAAACGGGAATGCTCTTAGCACATACACTTAAAAATATATGAGCCATGGTCCCCTGTTTTGGTATCTTTGATTGAATATATTATAGAATATAGTCCCCACTCCCCACCCTTTTGATGTAAAATGTTCTGTGCACAACTAACCTATCAGGATTTATATTTCTATCAGGGTCTAAAATTCGCAAAAGCAAAGGAATATCTCAACAAAAGATAAAATAGAAGCATGGGAGAATTTGAGAAATTGATCATACGGGGTAATCTTTTTAAGTTATACACTGCTAGTATAAGATTTTTTTATACCAGCAATTAATCATATCTTTTAATAATGTCATATCATTTATTTATTTAATAAATTAAAAATAAAATAAAATAATTTAAAAAATATGATTGGTTACTGACAATATATGAATGATTAACTTTGTGTGTGGTACACTTTCTCAACAAATCCATATTGCTATACACCTTGTCATTTCTTCAAAAATACCAAATAAGATGTGGGAGTGGAATCTAGTGTCACAAAAAAAATATCTAATTTACACATCGAATTCTTAATGTGTAGAAAGTAAGTGGAGTTTACTGTATGAATTAGGTATTGAATGGGATAAGAAATAAGTGGACTTTACTGTGCAGCCCAATAACTAGTACATGTTTTTTAACCAACAATTCATTTCTCTATATTCCCTACATCTGTTTAATTGAGGGGTGATCCAGTTGGAGCAACCATGTCTGGAAGCAATGTAAATTTTTTTTATTGTTTGAGAGAATCAAGAAAATTTTAGAGGGAGTTATTTTATCCATTTTTTTAATCTATGCATTATGTGCCCAAATAATGGACATTAAATGTATTATTTAAATATTATTCATTACTTAAAATAAGAATTAAATAACTTTATCATTTTAATATATAATAACATTTTTTTAACATCTTATCTTATTAACATCACATATTCACATGTGTTGATAAGATGATTATATGAGTTTAACTTAACTCCTTTTCGACTTTAACATTTGATCGAATTATTTATGTAAATTAAAATTTAATCTTAAATCATAAATATTAAACTCCATAAATTTAAATTTAATCCTACTAATACTCAACAATATATGTGGCGGAATTTAGTTAACATGATATTTAGAATACATATAATTTTAATATTATATATAATTAAGTTAAAAATTACAAAAGTATGAAACTAAAATTACAAAAGTATGAAACTAAAATTACAAAAGTATGAAACTAAAATTACAATATATATTTTAAAATAAATCATTTCAATACAAAAATAATATCATGTAATAATTAAGAAGTCTTATTATATAAAAATAAGTTTATAGTTCATATAATTTAAAAAGGTATTATATTTATATTTATAAAATAAATGAGAATTTATTAGAAATAAATCAATTGGTATTTTTTTGTGGGTTTTAGCAAGTCAACTATTGTACACGGAGGCTTTTACCATACACACATGTCTCTACATTAATAAAATATTGTTCACTTTGGAATTTAACTTTCATATTTTTGTTTTTTGATTATCTCTCAAAAGGTCTCTTAATAAAGACTTTGTGTTTATATAAAATCTTTATTCATCCTTATGTTTTAAGGATGTGAGACTTTAATTGCATCATAAATTATCCTCTCAAACAAAGAACCATGACTTACCTCTTTTACACCGTTACTTCATCATTAACTCATATTAGTGAGATAAAATATTGTTCTCTTTAAAATCAAAACTTTATGATTTTGCTTTTAATTATCTTCCAAAAGGTTTCTTACCAATAAAGACTTTGTATTTATTTAAATCCATGTTCATCCTTATATTTTAAAGATGTAGAATTTTAATTGCATCCAAACAAATAAATTTTAATATTATATATAATTAAGTTGAAAACTACAAAAATATGAAACTAAAATTACAACGTATATTTTAACTAAATCATTTCAATATAAATATAATATCATGTAATAATTGAGAAGTCTTATTATATATAAATGTTTATATTTTATATAATCTATAAAGCTATTATATCTATATTTATAAAATAAAACGAGAATTTGTTATAAATAAATAAATTAGTATATGTTTGGTGGATTTTGGCAAGTCAACTCACTAACATCTTAATATTTCATAACTTATTAATTTATTTTTTTATTATTTGACGAATTAATCTGCCTACTGACTACTAATAACACATGTTATATTTTTTAACCCACTTTCCATTGATGAGTCAATTTACTCTACCCACTTAAAGTAGATTGATGATAAGATGAGGCAAGTTGATCCACCTTATTATTTCTAATCGTGTTTAGTCCATTATTATATCATTATCATTACCATCTTTACACTTTACTCAAAGCCAAGACTCTCCATCCAACCTTTCATTTGAAACAGGCAACATGAGACTAATTTAATCACTTATGCAAGTAGAAGCTAAGGTCTTACTTTGTATTTTTGGTCGGTAAAAAGATTACAATGAGAATAGTAAAATTTAAATTTAACATCTTATAAATACTATTCCAATCCTATTACTAAACTGAAATTAATGGTTCAGGAAAAGCTAATCTACCCTTTTATGCATCTCAGTGCATTATCTCCGGTATCGATCTTTTCTGTGTCCCGTTATACATCTTATGAAGTGTTCATATTAACATTGATACTTTAAATTCAAAGTCAAATCTGTAGGCATCAACGAGTTTTCCATGTTTCACGTTTGGATGAGATAACATACTCTTAGACCCCACTACAAACTGTGGACATTTCACGTCTATAAACACCAAATTGCTCACAGTAGCCATTTCATTCTAATTAATGCATTATTACTCTAAATTCATTATTTACGACCTCGTACGTCACGCTAAACCGTAAGCAGATGAATAATACACTTAAAAAGTCAACAATACAAGTTTGGGCTTCATTTCAATCTCACACTCTAATAAGAGTTAATGTGAGCAAACGTTTCGTTCTGTTAATATATTTTAATGATGTGAATTTGTTCTAATTTGCTTAAAGAATTAAAGAAAAGAAATAAGTTAAGGTTGATGATCGAGCACTAGAAGTGCATTTGTTCGTTTCCATCTTTCCTTTTATTATTGAAGTTTGATATATCTTTGTAATTGGCTAGAATTGGAATCCATGACAAAGATGTGGATCACACCACCTGGGAGAAGAAAATTATTATTTTCTTCCAAAAGAAAGCGTAATCGCATCAAAAGGTCTTGCTCACTCGTGCATACGGTGATTGGGATCAGATGCACTTCATTCTACATGCTCTAGTGTACGACGAAAGTGTGTATAGCAATACAGGATCAGAATGCATTTCTTCATAGTATAACACTATTATAATTTCATTGCTAAAAAGTTAAAAAAAAAAATAAAAAAAAATAACACCATAATTGCAACAATATTTTATAACACTTTTTTTTAATCAGTTCTATCTATTTATCTGTCTTAAGAGATTACCATTCATTTTTAATTTTAATTGGATTTAAGTACTCTTCTAAAATAATATATATATATAATATATATATAAT